TGTGTGTATATATATATATATATATATATATATATATATCCTCAAAACTTTTAAAATATGTGTACCACACGGTTATCATTTGCCTCTAGGGAAACCAGAGCAGGAAGTGAGAAATAATATTTTGCAATGAGCACATTGCTTTAATAATTTTGTAAAGCCATTTGGTAAATATTGTCACATAAAACACATTAAAATTAATTCACGAAACAAAATTAAGAATATAAAAACATACCAAGTATCACCTTCTGTTAGAGTCATCTCCAATCCTACATGAATATTTTCTCTGCCAGTAAAACCCAAGGATAATATGGAACCCAAACAGTCACAATTTTTTTCATTATATTGCTAGTATTCATAATAATTATTAGTCTTTTCCAAAGGTTTTCTTGTGTTTGATTTGTATAGTTTTTCAAAGTAAGGAGTTTAGAAGATTTACTAAATGCTATGAAAATCAACTCTCTTGAACCTCTTTCAAGATGAAATTAGGCCTTTGTATGCTGGGATTCAGTGATTAAAAACAAGATTAAACCTTATTTTTTTTAAGAGAGATTTTTGCTACAGAGTAAGTGCACTCACAGAGAAACAGAAAGTGAAAAATCACCCCCACGGGGAATGGCCATGCTGCAATCCCTCCTCCTCCATTCTCCTCTTGGGATTTTGGGCACACACACACACGTGCCTGGTGTGAGTTTCAAGATACTAGGTCCAGGGCTCAAACCACAGTCAGCCATGTGGGAGTACAATGATGTAACCATTATGCCATCTCCTAGTCCCAAGATTAAATCTTAGTATTCACCATTTGTAATTAAATTAAATGCAGTCATGTCTTAGTCAACCTTTATTTTTTTAATGCTAAAATTATCTTTTATTGTTTTGTTTTAAAACTTAAAACTAAAGATTCTGTAGACTTTCTTCAGTTGTAATTGAAGTTTGTTTTCTTTTCAGATGTAGAACTGAAAATGAATGCAGTCTTCCATATTTGAAAATAATCGTAGTTTCTGTACCAATCTACAGACACAGTGGTTAAGCCCTCTGCAAAGGGAGCTGGATCCCATGTGGCTGACCACAGTTCAATCCTGGCCCTGCCAACTTGAAAAGCATTCCTGGCAATTAAAAAAAAAAAAAATCATAGTTACCATGCACAATGATAATATTATGCTAACTCCATACCAACTTCCTCGAGGGGCCTCACTGTCTGTTGTCCTCAAACATTGCAAAGAAATGCCTCATGAAACAGCTTTTAATGACATCAATATCTCATCTCCAAGGAATAGGTTAAAGTCTGTTATACTAAAAGAGTTTCAATGAACTGTCCCATTCACATAAATCTACACGGTCTTCCTATGAGCTTTGCCCACTTGGAGTTAGTCTAACCAGGACATCTCACAAATATTTGCAAATGTGTTTCCAGAAGTCACAAGGCAAGCACTAATAAATTAGGATCCATGCTTTGGAGGGTAATGGTTTACTACAGCTCAGAGACTTTAAGCAACTAATTCAACCTTCTTTATTAACTACTCTATATTTTGGGGCAAAACATTTTATCTTAGTTCACTTAAATATTTTTCTTGGTATGCAGAATAAGAATTCATAAAATTCTCAGTTTCTAGTAAACTGAAGTGTGTACAAAACACAGGCACAGGGAAAACCTTCTCAAACTGCCGCTATCGACATGCCTTCTCACTTCCTGCCTGTTTAAAAAGAACTATTGCCAGAGCCTTGTAAGTAGAGGCAGCCCCATTTATAACTCTGCTTCACCTCTGAGACTGAAATCAAAGTAGATCAAGGTAGAATTTCCTCTGCAAACATTTGTTTCTCTGATATTTTGTTAAAGAAGAATTTATGTGAGATGATTTTAGATGACACTTCTCTTATTTCTGTAGTCCCACTGGTGGAAGTTGAAATGTACAAACTATTTTACTTATTTTACATCTTACATCTTTTCTTTCTTTGACTTTTCTATAGCATGCCAATGTAGTTTTTAGAATGGTCATTCTGTTTGGAACATAATATATGTTTAAGAATTCTAGGAAGAATAAAATTATAATATAAAATACAGTCCTCTCTAACTCTTAATACTCATGTTTTATCCCCTCTTCTTCCATTTCTTAAACATATGTACCACTTTAGCTTAGCCATCACCTAAAGCTTTAGGCTTAGGTTTGATGTCAAAGGTTAAATGTCCTTAGTAATCAACTAAATTGCTCTTGATGATTTAAGATGAGAGATGAGGCTGAAAGTTAGGAGATGGCTAGCTGTGTGAACCAATGTGTTGGAGAGTAGCCTTATGAAATAGCCACTTAATTCTCTAAAAAAAAAGAAAAGAAAAAGTAAACGCTGGATGAACAGGACAAAATATGTTAATTTTGCTTAGTTTGTTATCTATTAGTATTCTTAAACCGAGAACAATTTCACTAAAAAAATACTCATTTACTTTTGTTTTTATCAGAGGCGATGGCGTTTAGTAATCATGAAATCAACATATGTTTGCATATGCTTTTAACTTCCAACCACTTCACTTGAGTATTTCTTTATCGTAGATTGAGTTAGTACAATTATCTCTGTTTATGAAAAGAAACTATGGTAGTGGCTGATAAAATTAATGTTCAGAGATTCTTTTAAGAGGACTTCTGATCTTCTGTGATAATCATAGACATTAATTGACTTTTCAAAAGATACACTTCTGGAACAAGTAAAACATCAAACTTAAGAGTACAGAGGGACCAGCAGAGAGCTTAGTGGTTACATCGCTGGACTCCCACATGGCCGACCACGGTTCTAGTCCTAGACCCAATGGCTTGAAAGTTACGCCAGCCGCTTATGCATGCATGCATGCCCAAGATCCTGGGAGAGGAACGGAGGAGAAGGGACTGCAGTGTGGCCACCCTCCCTGGGGGTTGATTTCTCACTTTCCCTGTCAGTGTCTCTGTCTCTTTCTCTCTACAGCGAGCGCATGCACTCTAAGGCAAAAATCTCTTTAAAAATTTTTAAATAAAATCGGGAACCAGCAGTTAGCGTAATGGCTATGTCGCTGGACTCCCACGTAGTTGATCATGGTTTGCATCCCAGACCTGGTGGCTTAAAACTCACGCCGGGTGTGTGTGCGTGCGTGCCCAAGATCCCGAGAGGAGAATGGAGGAGAAGGGATTGCGGCG